CCTTCACTTTACTAGCTCTTAATATCTCTCTCTTCATGTCTTTTTCTTTTTTTCATGTATGCACAAAAAGACCTTTGCCTGCCATTTCTTGTTTAGATGTTATGTGCTGCTTGGAAACCAGAGTCTCCAGAGCTCACAGTTCCTTTCAGAGGAAGGGGTCCCAGCAAGCTGCTGTTTTGTCAACATGACACAACTTGACTCAACAATTGTTAAAGGGGAATTTTCTCTGCATTAATGCCGCTAACTAGGCCTAGCTAAATGAAGGGGAAAGGGAAGAAGAGGGAGAGAGAGAAAAGAAAATAGAAAGTTATAGTGTCTGTGTTTCAACCTTGAAGCTGTCCATAACTTCCTCGAAGTTATTTTAAGAGTTAGACTTTTCAAATGCAGTCTGGAAACTGAAATAGGTCAAATATTTTCCTAAGTTTGTTGCACACTGAAGTACCAGGACACAAGGAGGGGCAACAGAGAACATGATTTGATTCTGCCCACATTTCAGAAAAATAACACTAACAATCACATTGTGAGCCTCTCCGGTGAGTACTGAGAGTTCCCAATCAAATCACTACCTTTGTCTTCCTCTAATTCTTTAAAATTGTCACTTGGGGCTGAAAAGTTTTTAGAAAACAAAAATAAAACTCTGCTTTTGTTAACTTTCTAAACATTGGCGTAGAAGATGAGCTTCCATTTAGCATCCATTCGAAGCGGCGAGTGGGCTCTGACTTCGCCGTAAAGAATTTGGTTTGCTCTTGAAGCTGCTGTTTTCTCAACTTGAAACAAACTAGAGTTGTTTGGTAAAAGCAACGTTAATTGGGAAAATGTCTCTATCAAACTATGTGAGGGCAAGTCTGGAAAGCACTTTCCTGGTAATGAATGAAGTGGGTTGTTGGTGGTTCAACCCCTGGGCAGGTGGTCAGGAAAGGTGTAAGAAAATAGGCTGAGCAAACCATAGAGAGCGAGCCGGTAAGTAGTGTTTCTTCTGTGTCTCTGCTTTAATTCTCACCTCCAGGTTCTGGCTTTGAGTTCCTGCCCTGCCTTTCCTCCATAATGGACGATAAACTGTAATTTGAAGTAAACCCTTTCTTCCTCAAGTTACTTTTTGTTAGTGGTGTTTTATCCCAGCAGTAAAACCGTAACTAAATACACACACACACACACACACACACACACACACACACACACACACACACACAAAACATACACACACACACACACACACCACACACACACACACACACACACATACACACACACACACACACACACACACTGGTTAGACAAAAATCTGGGAATATGATGAATACATTTTACAATTGCTTCAAAATTAAGACCATGAATGTTTTAGTATTTAATATCCCAAGAAATAACTCTGGAAAACTGAGAAATTATTTCATTAGTTACTCTTTTTTTCTGAGTCAGTGGGATAAAATTACCCGATCTTTAAGTAATATAAAATAGTTTTGCAGTTTAACACTTGAAAAACATCTCTCACCATACACCTGAGTAACCGAGGCATTTTCTGTACCAAAAACCTTAAGCTTAAATTGTAAAATCACTGGTAGGCAACAAAACACTTTTTGTGTTTCTAGTTTAGTGTGTCTTCTCATCTGCAGGAGGATATTTAAGGGAAAACTAGTCTTGCAACCTCATCAAAAATATTTCTTAGATCTAGGAAGTGAGAATATTTTCCTGAAAATAGTAGTTGAAGAAAACTCCTTGAGAGGATTGTTATAAGTCCAAGGGCTTTACAAGAAGAAATAGATCATGATTTAAATGCACATTCTATCAGCTAAGAAATAAAAGCACATTTTGAAGGGAACAGAATTGTTTAATCCTTGCATGTTGGCAGTGTATACACATGAAAGCCGGTTACCCTTCACATCTCCTCAAAATAGAAATGGCTGTTCTTCTAGACTTGTGTAGTGCTTTTTGTCAGAATATGTATATCTGCTCAGTATTTAGAGACAAAGTTGGTTCTGTGGGGTCAGTTGTTAGAAAGAGGTGCAAGGCTGCAAAAAGGCAGCCATGACAGCTGGACCATCTGGGCCAGGCGCGTTAATCTTGAGCTCGGACAGCAAACACAAGACAGGAGTGTTGTCATTTGGTCTAACTAAGGTGGCTTTCCCCATTGGCTGGTGTCTGACCTCACAATCTTTTCCAATTGGCTAGTCTGAAGTGTTCTACAGGAAATGAAGGAGAGGAAGGAAAAGAGTCACTGTTCAAGGCCATCAAATTCCTAGGACTTTGTACAAACAAATGTCATACTGAGTAGGAAGGATAAAACCATTTTCATTGAAGTCTTAAAAGATGGGGAAGATAAAAAGATTTTAATCCCTCATCCTCAACACAAGTTTTATAGTATTTGATAAAAAAGACATATCCAATATTTCTTATACATTGTAAAACACAACTCTCATCTCAAAGGTGAAGAAGATAGTTTATTCTTAAGTCAAAACAAGAGTGGCCTGAGCCCAGGAACACAAATTTGGGCTTCCCCAAATTCCATGTTCCAACCTGGTAGCAGTTTTGAATGACTAGGAGTTAGAGTCCCTGGTAGGCAGACAAACAGGGAGAGGGGTTTGACTAGGCGATAAAGATGGTTTCTCACCCTCTAACCTGAGACAAAAGCTGACAGCTTCAAACAAAGGCTTTGTAGGGCATTTTTTCTCCCGCAGTAGGTCCTCAGCTGGTGAACTGGGTCAGCATGTTTGAGGCCAGATTAGCACATATTTACACAACAGTTGTGAACCAATCTCTCTTCAAACCGACCAACCCTCAGTTAGGGAACACTCCAGACCTAAAACCCTCAAGAAGAGACTGGATTTTTTTTTTGAGGGGGTTGGGGGAGCTTCCTTAGTCCCCTCAACCTGCAGAGGGCCTTTTGCTCTGTGTGTCTGCTGCATGTGTGTGTTTCTTCACCCACAATAAAGGTCTTCAATGGCTGATTCTGTCTGTTACTCTCTGTGTTGTTCTAGATTTCTCTGCTGCTATCTGTTGCAGCCAAGGTTTTTCCTGCCTTTTAATTCTTTGATTAGCACAGAAAGCTAACCAGATCAAAACCCTAGACTGTATCATTTTCATGAAGAGTTTAGAGTAACTGATCAAAGAAAATCTTGAATCAAGACACTGTTGCATACAGCAGAGAGTTGGGTTACAGCAAAGCAGAGAAAACCCCCGGCCACAGGCCTCAAATGCTGTCTGATGGCATGCTTACTTTTTGGGTTGATGGAAGCTAGTATTCTGCTAAGTCAATTCATTACAAAAGGTTTTCATCCATTAACCATGGGATGTTACATCCAACACAGAAGTGGGTAAAAAATGGCTTTTCAGTGGGCTACAGATAGGCCAAGATAATGAGTAATGAGGCTTTGGACCTGCCGCATCCCAGCCTTTCCACATCACTGCAGTTCTAAGCAGACAATCAGCCTTTGCAGACAGAGCTTCCTTCCAGAGATTCTCATTCACAGTGGAAAGCATACTTTTAACTCAGGTAAGAATTTTATTTTTAACAGTTATTATTAGTCTTCAGTATAATAAATATAAATGTAATATGGACAAATTTAAGTCTCAATCCATGTCATATTATGTATGTATTTATTAATAATACATACTTTACATATCATCATACAATGAAAGGAATTAAGGTTTAGACAATTTTCTCAAGTCAGTAAAAACATCATTTTCATCTCTCCTAAACTGGAAAACAACCAATTTCAAATCAACACTCTCAGCAAAATTCTAGGAAAGAGAAAGAAGAGGTCTAAAAAAATTTACCATCTGCCAGTTCATTCAAAGTCTTCCCTGAGCTATCCAAGCAACAGTCTGAGACCTTAGCTAAATAGTAACTCAAGAGGGCCATTCCTACATCTCCTTCTAGGGAGAACAAGTCTTATTCACATAAAGCAATCTGCATGCCCTCTCTCAGCCAAAATGTGAACTATGGATGTCAACTACACTAAAACCATGATGAAAATGTAGACTTTCTTGTAGACTGTAGTGTTCATTAATTTTGTAATAAATCATGAAGCAGTGTTAAAATATTGAAGTTTATACATATGAGTTCCTGTTAGCATGCATTAAATTTTATGTTAGAATATTTAAAACTTATTACTTTTAAAATTAGTTGTCAAATCACTTTCTAGGATTGGGTATAATTTTAATGAAGAGAGATTTCAGAGAGTGTTCTAAAAGCCCTTCACTCTTCTAAAATTGTTGTTAAGGAAACAGTGTGAAGTCAAGGATATTAACACAGCCTGAAGCACACAGCTCAATTACTAGAGAGGATGAAGGATTTGCATACAGCATTTTATTATACAGGCACTAGATCACTCAGTAAACAAAGTGCTGCCAGGGCCACCATTCATGCCACCAGGGTCACCATTTATGTGTGGTAATGTGAGAAAGAAGGGGCTGGAACCAGGGTGAGAGAAACTTTCTCAGGTAGCTCTAATGTTCCTTTCTCACTTCCCAAAGTAAAAACTTGCAAACAGTAAGTTCCTTAGAGGCAGGAATTTAATTTAATCTGTCCATGTTGATATCCCCAACAACATAGTTTTAGTACATTATATCAGAAATATAGACAGCTACACAATGTCAGGTTTTACTGAATAGCAATAAATCACAAGGTATGGTCTTTTAATGGCAATAGTTCACAAGATAATCCCACTTTCTTGGTAACCTTGCTGAAACAAACACAAACTCCATTATTCTAATCTTAATAAACAATATTAATTCTCACCACACAATCATCTAGCACTTAGAGTGCATATGTATGCATTTTTTGTGAGTATGTGTAGCTTACAGAATGGAATTACAGAATTCAAGGGTTAAGGAAATTTCATCAGAGTCTCAAGAGGTTTCAGAGGTAAGTTTATAGAATTTTAAATAGAGTGAATAAGAATGGCCTCCCATAGGATCATATATTTGAATGCTTAGTCATTAGGAAGTGGCACTACTTGAAAGGGGTTAAGTATGACTCTATAGGAGGTTAACACATGGCCTTGTGTCACTGGGGGTGGGCTTTGGGATTTCAAAAGCCCAAGCTAGTCCCAGAATCTCTTCTCTCCTGATGCCTGCAGATCTGCATGTAGAACTCGGTAAATGAATATTTCTCTCCCACCTACTAGTTCCTGAATAACCACTCAAAGGCTTATATTAATTATAAATGTTTGGCTGATGGCTTAGGCTTATTACTAGCTAGCTCTCACATTTAAAATAACCCATTTATATTTATCCATGTATAGCCATGTGGCTGGCTTACTGGTGCTCCGCCATCTTGCTGCTTGGGTGGCTGTTGGTTTCCCCTCTGAATCCATCTTCAGTTTGAATGCACTGCCTAACCTTATTCTGCCTTGCCAATAGACAAAAGCTTTATTTATCAACCAATAAAAGCAACAAATATTCACAGTGTACAGAAAGACTATCCCACAGCAGAACTCTCAGCCTCTACTCTAGCACTGTGTGTGCCTATGTGCTACCATGCTCCCTACCATGATGAAAATGGACTAAACCTTGGAAAGTATAAGCAAGCCCCAATTAAATGCTTGCTTTTATACAAGCTGCCTTGGTCATAGTGTTTCTTCACAGCAATACAACAATGGCTAAGACAATAAGGAACCTAAACCAATTTCTGAGAAGCAACTGGAGAAGGTGGTAGTGGCACTGAGTGTCACAGATTGGAAAGCAGAACTGTAGAGCTGAATCGAGTTGCAGAAGAGAAAAAGGTAAGGAGATGTCTAAACAAAGAACAGGTAGATGGATGGACTATAGATCCAGATGGATGAGCTGGAAGATGGGCAGAAGGCAGTTGAGTAGGATTATCAACAGTGGGGACTGAGCTGAACTGAAGTCCCAGGGACAATTGGGATTTCTATGCCTGAGCTTAATACATGGGCTGTCAAATGATAAATCAGTGGGGGTTATCACCATCATAGCGTTAGGTGTCCTCCACCTCTTTGTTGGGTCCAGGTAAGAGTGTTGTACCCTTTCCTCAGTCTGGAGATCCAATAAGTTCTTGAGCTTGATTTTTCCTGATATGATTTTAATATGCTCATTTGCCTCTACAGTATTAATTCACCCCAATGAATTTGAAGGGTAACACCCTTTCTACTCTCTCAGAAAATGTCATTTATCAGTTACTGTATGAATGGTACCAGATTGATAGTTCTCTTCACATGCCCACTGTGTCATCTACTATCGTCAAAATGGGATCAAAAACTGCTTAGAAAATGGTGTTTCTCAGAGAATGGCACAGATCTGAAAAAAAAATTGCTATTTACACAACTTGGAGTTACTTAGAACAGAGAACAGCCTAGTTTCAATGTGTCAGGTGACACAGTAATCACTATGTTACGTTACCAGATGACCAATAAATTCTTCAAAAAATTGCAGTCTTCTGCTTTCATATAACATTTTGAGCACCTAGTATGTGTTAGTTAATATTGCAACATGTTATGAAATAGAAGACAGCTGCTAATATTCATTTCTGAAACAAATACATGAGCAATAAGAAAAGACCTTTATGAATATGAGAATAAATGTTATAAGGAGACTTTTTAGTTTAGTGTCTACACAGATGAACCACACACAAATTTTACTGTAGTAGTTCAGGGTAACTAAATTCTGTCTTCCAGATGACAGCAATTCCAGGAATTTTCTTAAGTATATTCCTTGTATTGCCTTGTAGATTAAGCTAGGTCTAAAAGAAGCTAAGAAAAAAAAGCAAAAACGAATTACATTTAAAAAAGCACCCACTCTCAGGTTTGTGTACGAGTCACAAAGTGCCTGGCCATTATTGAGAAAGAACACCTCCCTAAGTTTTACACTTCAAGTGGCACTTGATTTCTAATCCTGAGAGAACCTCAATGGGTAGAGGTAGATGGATAACCTTAGAACTGCTGAGAGTAGCTTCCTTTATTAGCATAGGTAGCCTTTTTGTGTGTGTTTGTGTGAAATAGAGATAGTAACATGTCTGGATTTTCAGCATTTAAATGGAAACTGCATGTGCTGGTCTGGCTGAATAGTAGCCTACACAGTTCATGCCACGAAGTACTTGGGAATATGGTTGTATTTTTAAGAGCTCTGCTGTGGTGATATATTGTATACCCTAATAAACTTGCCTGAGGATCAGAGGACAGAGCCAGCCACTAGATTAGGCAGTGGTGGCACACGCCTTTAATCCCAGCACTTGAGATCTCATGCCTTTGCTTGGGAAGCACATATGCCTTTAATCCCAGGAAGTAATATGGCCAGACAGAGAAAGGTATATAAGGCATGGAAATACAGGAACTCACTCTCTTTAGGCTGAGGATTTCATAGAGGTAAGAACTAGTGGCTGGCTGTTCTGCTTCTCTGATCTTTCAGCTTTCACCCTGATATCTGGCTCTGGGTTTTTTATTAAAAGACCATCTAAGATTCAAACAACACTCTGCAGATGTTACCAAAGTAAGACATTGTATTAATGGATTAAAGCAGTGGTTCTCAACCTCATGTTGTGGTGATTCCCAACCATAAGTATTTCCATCGCTACTTCATAACTGTAATTTTACTGATATTTTGAATCATAATGCAAACATTTTTGGAGGATAGAGGTTTGCCAAGGGGTGCAGATCCACGTGGTAACAACCACTAGATTAGAGACTATGGCTTAAAAAAATTATTCTAGCACTATGTGTTTCCCCTCTGCTCTCAGACCACAAGAAAAGGATGGCAACAGCCACTCTGAAGAGATTCTGGTCCACATGAGTTCAGTGAAGCAAGAGAAATGAGTAGCAACACAACCATGGAGGCAAAGCTGTGGGTGTGGGTGCAGCTGGACACCTGAGATTAAGCCAAAGTAAGTGGAGACTCGGCAGCTATGCCACGGTGAACCTGTGACTGAGCACTGGAGTATGAAGTGCCCTTAGATATGCAGGCAATTCTCTCTACCAGGCCCACTTCCACTAGAGCAGACATGCTCTGTCAGTTTCCCTTGCTGGGCCCTTGATGTGGGGTTCATGGGCCTCTTGTGGATTCTGGAGAACCGAATGCATGATTGCTACATCAGCTGCGAGTTTCTCCACCTGCCTGCGCCACTCCGCATATTCGGGCCCCATTAGATGCGCTCTGACGCCAATAAGAGGCTGGTCAAGGAGAAGTACAAACTGGTTATTCAGTGCTCACTGATGATCAGGTGGACCAGGCACTGTAGGAGATGTTGCAGAAGGCGAAAAAGCATAGGCTGGTGCTGAGTGAGGCATATTCACTAGTACAGGCAGAGGTGGACAGATGAAACCCGAAAAGTTCTCAGGTGTCCTAGCTCAGGCAGACTTCTGGCCCAGGATGGTGCAGTCGGGAGATGGATGGAGATAAATGGCACTCAGTGTGGTTTTGTGGAAAGTCCTTCTCACTCTGCCTGTCTCATTATGCGAAGCTAGTTGAGAGCCTGGTCATGGGGATGGAGAAGAAGAGCTGAAGAGTTTGACTTTGTAATACTCATCACTTCCAGAATCATTAGTAAGGAACCTGTACTGTGTAGTCTGTGGTAGCCGGAGATGTACTCAGAGGTAGAGCATTTGCCGAGCATGTCTGGTCTCCTGGCTTCCATTCCTAGCACTACAAAAGCAGAACAAAAATGAACCTTTGGTTTTGGGGGGGTTTGTTTATTTGGCCCGTTTTTGAGACTAGGACTTTCATATAGCCCAGACTGGCCCTGAGTTCTCCTGCCTTAGTTTCAGTGCACCACAGTGTACCAGCCCACTCACAAGTCCTGCTAATGGGGCCACAAAGACATCCTGACATGGATCCCAAGATCCTAACACCATCCACATTCTTTGTTTTGTTTGTTTATTTGTTTGTTTGTATTTGGAGTGTGTGTGTGTGTGTGTGTGTGTGTGTGTGTGTGTGTATCCGCGCGCGCGCGCGCACACACACACACACACACACACACACACACACACACACACACAAAAATTTTTGAGCAAGATCTGGCTGTGTTGCCCAGTCTAGAATTCATGAGCAAAAGTGTTCCTTCTTGAAGTTGGAAGGATAGCTCAACATTTAAGAGTACTGACTGCTCTTCCCTTTTGGAGAACCCTGGCTGGTTCAATTCCCAGGTCCCAGATAGGGGCTCACAACTACCTGTACCAGGGAATCCAACATTCTCTTCTGGATTCCTTGGGTACTAGGCAAGCACATGATGCAGACATACAGTCAGGCATGTAACATTTTAAAAATGATCTTCCAAAATAGTCTTCCAAATTTGGGACTACAAGCACGAGCCATCATGTCCAACCTCAGATCTTTCTTTTTCAGTTGGAGCTGAACTGTGTTTGTTTGTTTAGATTTTTGTTTGTTTTGTTTATTTGTTTTAAGACAAGGTCATTCTATGTAACACTGATTTGCCTGAAACTGGCTATGAAGAACAGCCTGGCCTTGAACTTACAGAGATCTGTCTTCCTCTGAATGTTTTTTTTTTTTTTTGAGGGGGTGTTGCTTCTGAGAAATGGGCTCACAGCCCAGATAAGCTTCAAACTCACTATATAGCAAAAGACAACTGAATGATTCTCTTGCCCGCACTTCCCAAATGGCAGGTGAAATGTTTCTCTTGTATGATTTATAATTGTTGAGCACTTTTGTTTTGTGCTAGACATTAAACCCAGGATCTTATATATACTAGGCAAGCACTATAGACCCAGTCCTCTTGAGTTCTTTTTTGTTTTTTGATAGTCTCCTTATACAGTCCTTGAGGACCTTTGACCTAGCTTCTCTTAACTAGTAACATTGTATACTGCTATCAGAACAGAATACTGATATGGAGGTGAGCAGATTTTACCTTATATATGTGTGATGGCAATTGGAAGCACGGTGGAATGCGGTGGAGTGCGTTCTGATCCAAAAGCCTACATACGGTCATATGTTGTTATACTGCAGGGGCCTTGGAAACAGTTCTGTGGAAAGGAACAAGGTGGGGCACATTGGTTGGATCTGGCAACATCCTGGTCATTATATTCCAAGTTAAAATATTAGGTAAGTGACACTACCTGTGCCAGGTGGCCTGTGGCCAGTCAATAAACACAGGGGATCAAGCGGTCCTCCTTGTCAGGGATTTGTTTGTGGTGCCAGGGCTTCACACAGACTAGGGATGTGCTCTACACTGAGCTACCCCCAGTCCTGGTGGTACATGTTCATTTGTTTTCATTTATTATCAGATGCACTGAACATATGGTAGTTCTTTTTTGTTTGATTTTTTTTTTTTTTTTTTTTTTTGAGACAAGGTTTCTCCATGTAGCCCTGTCTGTTCTGGAACTAAGAAATCCACCTATCTGTGCTTCCTGAATGCTGAGATTAAAGGTGTGTGCCACCAAGAAAAAAAAAGGAGAAGAAAGAAAGGGAGAGAGAAAGAAAGAAAGAAAGAAAGAAAGAGGAAAAGAAAGGAAGAAGAAAGAAAGAAAATTTAGGCTCAGAGATGTAGACATGCAAAGGAGAAGACGGTGTGAAGAGAAGGATAAGATTAAAGTGATGCATTACAAACAGCAAGAACAGTCAACAACCACCAGAGGCTGCACCAAGCAAGGAGTTACTTTCTCAGAGTCTCTCAAGGGAACATGAGCTTGCTGACACCTTAATTATCAACTTCTAGCCTCTAAAACAGTGAGACAATACATTCATTTTATACCCATTTTGTGCCAATCTATTTAGACAGTGGTGTAAAATTAAATCACTGTTTCACAATTACATGAGACCCTCTGGGGAAGGAAGGAGGAGTATGAGCCATATTTTGATTATTTCTATGGATAATTATACTACTGAATTTCAAACAATGCATTTACAAAGAAGTTTGGTCTATTCTAAAGCATGAGCTGGCTATAATTAGTAATTTGCCACAACCTGAGATGATCTAAACCTGGAAGCAAAAACAGATCAGCATAAATTATCATCTGCTTTCATTGTATTCCAAATTGATGATGAGAAAACATTCTACTTCTATTAGTCAAATGCTCTTTCATTGAGATAGATAGAAATACATAATCAATACGGACAAAGTTGATCCATAAAGCCAACATACAGTTTGAAACATTTCCTTACCTTACCCTATCAGCTAGGAGGGAATTAGACAGAAAATCCCTCCTATGAATCTTGCCACAAGTTGGTAATCTTGGGAAAACACAGAGACAACTTCATTTTGTAGAGGAATCTACTCCCATAGTCTTAAAATAAAGGAAGTTGCAAGGCTGCACCCTTAAACTGATTAGTGGCCTTGCTTGGGTTCTTTGCTTGCATATGAGTCAAGGACTCTTAGAGGTAAGTCTTCCAGCCCTACACAATCCCAGCTAAAGGTATATGTGACTGAATTTAAATAACAATGCCTGATACTTCTCATTCCTCCAAGAAGGAAACACAAAATAAAAATATTTATATCATGAAAGAGGTAAACATATTCTTTGGAATTCAGAGACATAAATTATTTGTTCATGGAAAAAATTAAGAATAAAAGGTGAAAATATTATATATTTTAATCTCTGTCACAAAGTAGAATTCAGGTCTGAATGTTTATATTCACCCTCAATATAATCTACTACGATAACCAATTTTGTAGATAGTATATGTAAAATAACAAACAAAAGGAAAATAAAGCAACTGAATATGAGACAATTGCTATAGCAAATGATGTTTGAAATGAAAGACATAAAATGCACATTATTTTGCTACATTCTTAAATAGATGGAGAACAGTTATGAACTAAAGATATCTGATAATCAATACCACCTTGCCCTGAAGGCATATGTAGCTATAATCTGAGAAACAAAACTCAAGAAAATAGAGCATCTAAATTGGAAAGACATTTAGCAACAAACTAGCAAAAATAAATGGTGTAATTGTAGTTTATATCCAAGAATTCCTAAGAGTTACTTTTAACAGCCAGTTTGGCCAAGCAATGTAAAAGGACCAATTATATATATATATATATATATATATATATATATATAT